AAATGTGTAATTTAGGGGAACAAAATATTAACTGGATGAGAGCAGAGGCAGGAAGAACAATTCTTGACGAATGAGTGGTAGTAACTGCAGCTTTAATAACAGTAACCAAATAGAGACTTGATTATGGTAGAGGGAAATCGCCTTAAAACCAGATGATGAATTAAATCAGAATTAGATGTTTTAAAGCCAGATATTTTTCTTATCTTCTATTTTTTTTTCCATTTTCTTATTTTCTTATAGACACACTTTTATTTCAGGTTTTCCTTTTTCATTATTTCACAAGTGCAGCATCAAAAGGAAGTTTTCAGTTATGCTCTGGATACCTGGATGGTTTTAAATGCCCCAGAATAGTTTGAGTTGGACGGGACCTTAATATCATCCCCTTCCATCCCCCCTGCCAAGGACAGGGACACTTTCCACTAGACCAGGTTGCTGAAAGCCACATCCAACCCAGCCTTGGGGAAGAACTGCAATAGGAGGAAGGAGAAGGCACTGAGATTTTTAGAGATTCACTCATTTCAGTGCTTTCCTTGCATCTTTCATACCTGCAGCTCCTGGGCCACGGCTCCTCTGCGCTGCCAATTTTTCCTCCTGATTATCCAGGTGCAACGCTGCTGAACCGAGCAAAAGATCACCAGTGTTTTGTCATGGAGTTAAGTGGAGTGAGGGATTTGTTCTGACCTCTGAGTTTTCCTTGCCACCAGCCCGGCTGAGCCCCGTTCCCTCTCTGTTGTGTTACATCTGTTGCTCTCAGCATGGGCTCCTTTAGCTCTGTCAACATTGCTTTCAATTGCCACTTGTCATCCCTGCTCCGAGCTCGATTTAATATCTCCAGCTTCCATAAGCAAAACTGATCACTGGGATTACTGAGAGTATTGGACACGCTTTATTGATGAGGTGATTGACTTATCACTGCCTCAGAGACAAAGTTTTTTACATTGGCTCGTGGCTTTTATTTTCCTAATTCAGATGCAGTCAGATGTCTCCAGAAAAGGAAGGGTCAAATGTAGCAATGCTCAGATAAATCCAAGTGAAGTGCCACTAAAATGCACAGCTATTGCATCTATAACCAGATGTAACTGATTCAATACACAAAGTATTGAAAATAATTTCTTTATGGCTCGTGATTCTTCCTTGTGACATACCAGACCTGCCAGGTGGTCACTAGCTTGGGACATGTATTGCTGCACTGCAGTAGTTGGTGAAAACATCTGTTTTATGCCAGATTTTGCTCAGTCCTGGAATTCAAGTCTCTCTTGGACTTTAAATAGACTGAAATAAAGTTGTTCAGGGATTAGCTAGCTTTTTCCAGACTCCTTTTATGGTTGCTGTAATATCTGTTTTATTAAATTGCTCACAGGTAGCAACATACGGATGTGCTATGATAAGCTCTCTGAGCTGTGCTGTTTTCAGGGAATCTTAGGTCACTGGATGAATGTCTGGAAATAGGAAATAAGAGTCAGCCTTGGTTTTGTGAAGCATTCAGGCTGACCTGTGTTTGTTGCTGTGCTCCTTGCAGTTGACTGGTTTGGTGTATAAGGCATTTGAGTGAAAAACAGCATTTTTACAAAAGAAAAAAAGTACTTCTCCATCTGTGTGGTTGGCCAATTAATTCAGCATTGAAAAGTTGAGTACTGCTAAAAAAAAAAAGCTTTATTTTTTCCAGCAGTATTCAGGAAAGCCACAAGCCCAGCCTAATAACTGAAAAAAGCAGCAAAAAAAGGTAAAATAATGTAGGAATCTGGGAAGGAAAAGGGGGAATAATTTCTTATTTAAATCTGAAAAGAAACTGGACCAAAGAAAGAAAAAAACTTCTGAAAAGAAGCTTTGTGGGGTTTTGTTTGAGGTTTTGTTTGTTTATTTGTTTGGCTTTTGTTGTTGTTTTGGAGGGTTTTGTTTGTTTGTTTGGGGCGGGGGGAGAGGGAGGGAGGTTTGTTGGTTTTGCTTGGTTTTTGTTTGGTTTTTTGTTTGTTTGTTTGTTTTTTTTAAGTGGAGACTCCATAAGCACAAGTGTAAAACTACCCTAAATAAATAATTCCTAGAACATTTCAAAATCTGGAGAAATGTATTTGTACATATGCCAGACAAGTATCCAGACTTTCTCCTTTGTGTGATTGCAATCATAAATTGCTCTTTTTTTTCCCTGATGGTTTTGCTGCCATGCTTACATCTGTGTCCTAATGGGATAAATTAGACACTCACTGACACTTTCTTGTGACATATTTTTTATTTACCTCACTCTTCCTGAATTTATCAACACTTCCAGTCAATCCAACAGAGGAGAGAAGTAAATAGCACCTTAGATTATACACCTGGTGTTAAGAACATAATCCAAATTGTTACCTAAAACCTGCATTTTATTTAATGCAAGTTATTTGTCTGGGTTCTCCTGCTTTGTAGAAAAGTCCTGTAGTATAGGAATGAAACCCCACTGAGTTATTTGTGAGGATGTAATAGGGTGTAATACAAATTGTTACAGGGAAGCCAAATCCACACATCTTAGGGAAAAAGTAACCAAGAGGACAAGTGGATTACCTTTCCATAAATACTTCAATAGCCCAGCTATTATGAGGTTATGATTTAAGATGATTCACAAAAGAAACCTGTGAGCCAAAAGGAAACTCCTTCCAAGGAGTGGAAGAAATTCCCTAGAGACGCAGCCAGCCTAAGTGGGTAATCATCCCAGCAGGGATGAGGTGAAAGCATCACAGCTGAGTTTGTTTAAATTCTGTTAGAGATCCTCCATTTCATCTTCATGGAGGCATAGGGGCAGTTTTCCAAAGCAGAAACCCACTGACAACTTCACCCCCAAGTCACATTTCCCAAACCCCTCCAGGTTCACGGGTCTGCCCTCCAGGAGTTTTGTTCACGTGGGATGGAATCGCTGCTTCCACCTTTGGAAACGCCAAACAGCATCTGGTAAATGGGCAACTTCCTCCCACTCAAAGATGAGGAACATGAAGATTAAGCTGTTTTAATAAAATTTTGGCCCCTGGAGCTTTTGGTTCCCATACAGCTGACTGTATATTTTTCAGATTTATAGATGTTATCACTGTGGGATGGAACAAAGCTGTTAATTATATTGTTTTCCCCCTGAATTTAGAGAAAGCAACATCTTAATGACGCACAACGCCTTGCCTTGCTTATGTAAAAGACCTGACTTCCACGCCATGCCAAAAACCCACCCTCGGTCTTTCTGAAAGCTGTTACAGATCAATAAGCAGCTGTTAATAACAAGGATCAGCCCTGCTGCACACAATGAGAAGGTTTGCAACAGCTCAAATTCCTCAGAAGAAAAATGTCCCAAGAGAATGTGCAGCATTATTATTGTATGAATAACACACGTATTGATTGGGCAGTATTTCTCCAGCTCCAAAACGCAAAACCAGCAAGATGCAGCCTGCAAACCAAAGCAGTCATATGAGATTTATCCCACTGTAATTTTTATGATTGCTGTCCCTTGGAATACTTGGGCTGTTTTATATTGGCACGTGTTTATATATTTCTTTCCTTATTTACTTTCATGAGGTTCATGCTGGAGGTAAATATGATTTGTACTGAAAATTACTGCAAAATTTTCACAGTGGTTTTTGAAATGTAATCTATGCTTCTTGCAGGATTAACTCTTTCTTCCTCCCTACTAAAAAAAAAAAAAAAAACAACAAACAAAACCACCCAGCAAGACACAGGGCATTGTACATGTAAGCTGTCGTGAGAGGATTTTTGCAGACAAGCAGACAGCTGTATTTTGTTATCAGTATATTTTTATGTCCCTTTTCCTAAGGGATTTTCCTCAGAGTCCACAGAAATAAATGATTATCAATGCAGCAAAAGATGGAGGAAACTGCTCCGATAGCAGTTCGGTGCTGTAAAACCCTGAAGTTTATGGAGGCTCAGGTGGCCCCTCAGCCCTTTTAAAGCTTTTTTTAGCAGGGCTACTGGTGCAGAACTCCATTTCTGAACAGGCAGCTGGCTTGTCAGTCCCTTGTTAAAATGAATTGTTGGTTAAAGGCTCTATCAAGAAAATCCTCTTTATAACTCCTTTTGCAAGCCAACCATCACGTAAAGCTGCTGTCGCTTGGCAAATAAAAAGCAAACTCCTCGCAGGTACAGTTGTACTCCAGATTGTTCTATCAAAGCACTTCGGCTGGGTGAACCTCCAGTCTCGGGCTGCAATTTGTGGTGTTTTGGAGAGAATTAGTGGCTTTAGCAGCAGCAGGTTGGTGGCGTTTATTAATTTATTTCTGTGAGCAGTGCCCTGGGCACTGTGAGGCTACGAAGGAGGGCACAGATCTCTCAGAGAATCACGGAATCATTAAGGTTGGGAAAGACCTGAAGGATCACTGGGTCCAACCATTCACCCAGTACTGCCAAATTCACCACTAAACCCTGTGCCCAAGTGCCATTTGTGCACTTTATTTGAGCATTTCCAGGGAAAGGTGAATCCACTACTTGCCCTTTAGACTGCTTGACCAGCCTTCCAGTGAATAATTTTTCTTAATATCCAACTTGAATCTCCCCCGGTGCAATTTGAGGTCGTTTCCTTTTACGCTATCTCTGGTTATTTGGGAGAAGAGACCGACCCCTCTCCCGGCTACACCCTCCCGTCAGGGAGTTGCAGAGTGATGAGGTGCCCCCTGACACCCCTCTCTAGAGAATAAACACCTCCAGCTCCCTCAGCCGTTCCTGGGGTTTCCCCCGAGGAGGGGGAAGGCGAGGAGGGCAGCGAGGACGGGGAGGATGCGGAGCAGGGAGCATCCCCCGGAGCGGCGGCAGACGGGCAGCGGCTCCTGAGGGGCGGCCCCGGGCCGCGCCCTGATGCGGGAGGTGCTGAGGGGAGGTGGGCGGGGCCCCCTCGGGCCGTCCCCTCCGCCGATTGGCTGCCGGGTGAAGGGGAAGGGACGCCGCGTCGTGGTGCGCTGTGGGAGTTGTAGTCCAAAGCGAGGAGTGCGGCCGGTTGCACCAATGGGATGAGGACTACAACGATGGAGGGGGAGGGAGGGACACGTGGTCGCGGTGGGCGGGGCTGCGTCGGTCACGTGATGTTTGGGTGCCGGCGGTGAGGGGCGCGCGGCTGCAGGTGAGGGGCGCGACACGGGCTGGGAACGGGGATGTGTGTGTGTGGTGTGTGTG